AGAGGGTCGAGTCTGTGTGCCGGAGGGTGGGACTCGGGAGCGCGGGAAATGCCCGGCGCGAAATCAGGGGACCCGGTGAGCGCCAGGGTGAACGAGATTCCTGTGCTCGCGCCTCGGGATAGGCAGGGAGAAAAGTTGGGGGCGGGGCTTCTGGTCAGCGTGATGCGAAATAGGCTAAGGGCTAGATCGGAGCCGGAGCGTGGCAGCGCAGGAAACCTAGGGCGAGGCCCGAGGCGAGACGGGCGGGGGCGGGACTCGTGCGTGGAGCGCGTGATAGACTGGGTCAGAGGCGGCGCTTGTGATTGGCAGGCTCAGCCGGGGGGCAGGGGCAGGGGCGAGGCCGCGGGGGGGGGGGGGGGACAGAGGCAACTCCAGAGTCGAAACCCAAGTAGTGAGGGCGGGACTAATGTGAGACGTGACGCAGGATAGGCCAGGGATAACGAAGGGGGCGGGACTCCAGTGAGAAGCGGGGTGTGTGGGCGGTGACCCCGGAGGTAGGAGTGGTGGTGTCCTTCCCGTGTGTAGCTTTATTTTAATTTTGTCTATCGTTATTATTAGTAATTTTAATTTGAGAGAGAGGAAGAGGGAGAAAGCGAGCCACCAGGTCTAGGACTTGAACCATGGTCGACCGTGTGCGAATCCAGCGCCTTAAGTACCACACCACCTGCCCGCCAGGAGTCTCGCCTTTTTAATATCTAGTTTTTGCACGAGTAACTACCGGAGCTGTTTATATTTCTGCATGGTTCTCGGCTCATCGCTGTGGAGCATTCCAAGCGTTCCAGCAGTGGGGAGCCCCGCCGACGGGCACAGAAGCCCAGAAACCACGGCCTGACCGGAGGAGCTCCCTGCACCCACCCCTGTCCTGCCACAGCTCCCCGGGGCCCATCTCCTGTCCCCGCCTACCGGGGGCCCTCCTCTTCTGCCTGCTGCTGCAGAGTGCTCCGTGCGCGCCCAGGTCCTCCCGGTGCCCTGCCCTCACTCCGTCCTGTTCTGGGAGGAGCGCTGACTTCTGGGGGTCTCATCATGGTCCGTTGGGCCTTCAGTTCAGGGCTGGCCAACCTCCCCGAGCAGCTCTCCTTCATGGGCAAACTTGCTGTGCAGCTTTCTGGGTGAAATGCCCTCCTGCTCTCTTGCCTGCGGGGCTGCAAGGAGGCCAGGAGGCTGGCACCCAGCATCCTGCAAGGCCCTCCTTAGCATAATCGCGTTTGTTCTCTTTTAGGGAGAGACTTGAAGTTGCATGGTTCTAGAGTCACTTGTGTCATAGCACACACTTAGGTTGTTTTCCCTGAAATAGATGAAATTCCTAAACAGACTGTTTTTAATCTTACAGATCTTGGACCTTTTTAAAATTTTTTACCGTGTGTGTGCGCGCGCGCTCGCTCACCTGAGACAGGAAGAGAGAGACAGGGGAAGTGAGAGATCACTTCACCCAGTGGGTCTGGAAAGGCCTGCACCTGGTGTGATTTTCAAACTGCCGGGTCCAGACTGGAACCACCATCAACCATGTGGGAGTCCAGCGCCATAACCACCATGCCACCTGCTGGCCCAGATCTTGGAAAAGGTGCTCTGACTAGAAACTGCCTTAGGGTTTTGTAAGGCAAAGGAGGTGTTGTGGAACTGCAGCGCCCAGGTCTTGCCAGGCCTTGTGCTTCGTCTGGTTTCAGTGTGAGAATTAGTGCTGAGCCCCACTCAATGCTGACTTAGCCAGGTTGGGTGGCTCAGACAGCCAGCCTACGTCTCCAGGTCCAGAGGCTGGAAGCCCAGCAGAAGGCTCCGCAGGCCCAGCTCCTGCTGGGGCTTCTGTCCTGGGCTTGGGTCTGCTGCCCTTTGCCTGCGTCCCTGACCACAGAGACCCCGGGACCTGCCGCACCCCTCGCTGACGTGGCCAGAGGGCAGGAAGGCAGCATGCCCCGCGGGCAGCCCTGGCAGGATCGTGCCCAAGCATAGCTGCAAGTGCCATGCTGGGTGGGCTGCAGGGGTACCCAAGGGGTTCCCAGCCTGGCAGAGCCCGCTCTCCGTACCTGCCTCCCCTCTGAAAGGACGGTGGAGGGCTGTCTGAATTTACCCAGCCTCAGGTTCGTAGCCCTGGCAGGGGAGGAGCGGCCTCCTCCAGAGAGGGAGCGCCCCGGATGGCAGCAAGAAGGAAGGGCCAGGCCACCCCAGGAGCGGGGAGCACAGAGGCTGACCAGTGGGGGCTCCAGGCCCTCCTGCACGGGCCCGGTTTGGAAGGTGCATGCTCTTGAACCTGTATTTGTGACCCCAAGACCTGGCAGTGCCCAGGCAGTGCATCTTCGGGACCCCTGTCATGGGGAGCCTGGCACTGGAAAGCAACAGAGGCCAGCAGGTGGATTAGCAATCATGTCGCTGGACTCTCACGTGGCTGACCACGGTTCGAGTCTCGGACTAGGTGGCTTGAACCTCACGCTGGGTGCATGTGCATGCGTGCTCAAGGTCCCGGAGAATGGAGGAGAAGGGATTGTGGCATGGCCGTCTCTCCTGGGAAGTGATTTCTCACTTTCTCTCTCACTGTCTCTGTCTCTCTCTCCAGTGAGCACATGTACCCTAAAGCAAAAACCTCTACTGTGAATGAATGAATACAGCAAGGACAAGGCAGACATGGGTGAAGGCTTGGGCTCAGCGGCTCCTGGGTGTTTATTACCACGCTGTGCCAGTGGGCACAGGTGGCGACCATGCCCGTGGCACGTGGGCTCCACGAGTGTTGTGGAGCGTTTTCTCCAGCATGGCTTTGACGTACACCACGCTGGCTCCTGGACATCGGGGCAGTGAGTCGAACCTCAGGCTTGAGAAGCGAGGCCCAAGTGCAGAAGGACCTCCTGCGCGTCCTCGTTGGTGGCGCGGCGTGGGTGGCCAAGGGACCTGGTGGCCAAGTCTGTGTGGGACGGGCAGCCGTGCCTGTGGGGTGGCCAGCTCGCATCTAAAACAGCTGGATCATCGACTCTCTGGATTTGCCAACTCCGACCCACTTCACTGGAAGGGCAAGCGGGTCGTTAACCGACCCAGAGCAGGCGCTCACAGGCGGGTCTTCCCCAGGGCCACACCCTTCGTGCTCCCACGTGCCGCAGGATGTTTTTTCTCCAAGTGGAAATACTCGATTTTTAAAAATTTGCTGTGGGGCCAGCAGGTGGCATGGTGGTTGAGGTGCTGGACACCCACATGGCCGATAGCGATTTGAGTCCCGGACCTGGCGGTTTGCTTTCTCACTTCCCTCGCCCTTTCTCTCTCCCCCTGGGTAAGCACATGTGCCCTATAGCAAATTAAAAAATAAGAAAAATTCAATAATTATTAACAAAGCTTTGCTGTAGGCCATGTGCACTTGCCGGAGAGAGAAAGCACCCTGGGGAGGCCACTGCGATCCCATCTGCCCGCAGGGTTTTCGGTATGCACACACACACTTGTCAAGCCACCGGCTCCAGGACTTGAACGCAGTCGGCCGCGTGGGACCCAGCTGCCCAACCACACGCCATGTGGGTATCTGGATCCTGGCTGGCAGTAGCTCCCTGAGCGGTCCTGCTCCCCCAGCCGACCAAGGCCCACACCTACAGGTGAACCGCAGACTCAGAGGTGAAGTTGCATGCCCCTTTCCGCAGCGTGTCCACACTGTCCGTCACACAGCAGCTGCCCGGGGCCCAGCTGGATGCGGCGGGCCTGCGCTGCTGCTCAGGGCCATGACCACCCTCGCTGCTGACCCCACGAAAGTGGCGCAGCCTACTGGCCCTGCGGCACGGTAGCTGCCCGTGGTCTCTCCCGGTCTGACTGAGGAGGGGACTTTACCAGAGCGGTGTCTGCACAGGGACACAGGATGAGGACGTGGTGCCAGCCACCCACCCTCTGGGGTCCCCACCAGGAACCCCGCCACTGCACAGAGGCTCCCGTGTGGGCCAGCCCACGTGCAGTGGGAAGCAGGGACCTCCCCTCTCCTGTCCTCAGGGGCTGTGACGGGCGAGCGCAGACACCTGCAGGGGCAAGACACGTGTCGTCCCAGGTCCGAGAGGTAACGGCTGCCTGGCCAGCCCATGCCACGCGGTGCCGCCGCGGTCAGTCCCGTGTTTGCACCTGTCCTGCCTGTCCCCTCTGTGTCTACCTGGTGCCCCCCAGGGGTTCTCAAGTCCCCTGAGTCCTGCACTGGGGTGGGGCGCACACCTGCCACTCCCACGTGGTTCTCCACAAAGCGGACGTAGCCCTGGGCCTGGGGGGGCAGGTCCTCCCACTTCCTGGCACCTGTGGTGTCTGCCTTCCAGCCAGGCAGGGTTTCGTATTCCACTTCGACCTTCTGGAGAGTCTCCTGGTTAGCTGGGGAGCAAATGGGTGTGAACGGGCAGGCTCCAGCTACGTGCAGGTGAGCGGGCGCCCGGGGCGCAGGCACTGTCCCGCTGCTGTGGCCCTTCCAGATCGGGGGACGCACCCACCCACCCTGAGCAGGAGTTCACCAGCCAATCAGCTGGACCCTTCATGCCCATTCAGCACGGGGCTCCGAGGTCCCACCTGAAAAGTCCAAGATGCTAGAAACCCGAGGCATCGGGATCCCTGAGGACCCACACGAGTGTTCAGACTGCTCGTGGGACACGCGTGGTGTGAAAGCTGTATGGAGCTGTATTTTTTTGCATCAAAATGAACGTGTAATTTAATTCCATTTCCCGTGAGTTTTTGGAAGCCTCCATATGCCACGGGGCCATGGCATGAGACCCAGAGGGTCCTTAGAGCCACCACAAGACCCAGAGAGTCCTGGGCACACACCTCCCTTCGCCTGCCGAAACGTCGGCGGCTGCTTGCCCTAAGGTCATGGCGCAGGACGCTCAGACTGACGACACCCGGTACCTGGGAAGTAGGGGATCCTCTTCCCGCCCAGCTTGTACGAGACGCCGACCTTGATCTCCGCCAGGGCGTCCAGGATGTCCAGCTTGGTCAAGGCCAGCCTATGCGGGCAGGACGGGCCACGACACGTCAGCACGCTGGCGCCTCTGGCCTTCGCAGCGAGTAGGAAGCAAAGATGATGCACACCCAGAAAACAGCCACGACGGCCGGGGGTGGGGGCGCCCCATCTCACAGCCTCCAGACACGGCCTCTGCTTGCCTGGCCCACGCAGGGTCCTGGCGCTGCCTGCAGCCTGCTGGTCAGCATGGCGCCCCTGTGCCGCCCTCCTACGCCCCGCCTGCCCTGCGGTGGAGCCTGAGGTCCTGGCCGTGGCAGCCACCTTCCAGGCTTCTCTGGGGGCCAGGCCCGTGCAGAGGCTCTCTGGGTCGTCACTCCCCCTTCGCATGTTCCTCCCCATGGGGCAAGCCCAGAGGTTTCCAGTTGGAGACCTCCCCATGGGCCCCTTGCTGCCCAGCAGCTCTGGCCAGTGCAGGCCGTGCTGCCCCGGTGCTGCTGCCGTGTCCCGCCCCGCACCCACGAGCCCTGCTTTGCCCATGAGGAATTCGGGGTGTGAGCCACAGACACCAGCCGGCTGCCCGGTGCCTCTGCGTCCCTCTGGCGGGAAGGGGGCTCTGGGTAGTTCTTGGGCCGGCAGGCGTTTTGGCTCAGACTCTCATCCTTGTGAGAGAGGCAGGCAACCCCCAGGCTTGGCTGCCCTGGCCCCAGGGGGAGACGCTGCAGGGGTAGACGCTGGGACCCGCCTCACTCCGAGCTTTCCCCCCCAGAAGGCTGTCCCAAGGGTGGGCAGCCTGGTTAGTCTGCAGAAAGCCCTGGGCCAGTGGCCGGGCCCCCGGGAGTCACTGCCACGGTTCCAGCTGGCAGGGAAGGCTGCCACCCCCACACCCTGAGGCCCTTCTCCTGTCCCACGGCAGGAGGCAGCGGCTCCCAGAGGAGCTGGCTCTGCACCCTCCCGAGGGGCCCTCACCCGGGCAGGTCTGTGGGAACCCAGCTCACTCCCACTGTTCCCTCTATGAGGGGCCTCAGGGAGCCTTCCCGGGTGCCTTCCCGCTTGGGGTTCTGCCCTGCTCAGCTCTGGGAGGGAGTGCCAGCACCTGGGGCAGGGTGCAGCCCAGAGTGCCGCGGCCCGGCAAGGCCCGTGACCAGGGTGTCCCAACCAGCTGGAGCCCCGCTGAGCTCAGCAGGGCCCAGCACCCGCCAGGTGGGGTGGGGCTTTCAGGAGCCACCTGCCGCCCTCCATCCTGCAGCCCAGCGTGGAGGGCCTGCACATCACCGCCCACAGCCACCCACCTGCTGTGGCCCGGCCGTGGGCTGGGCCAGTGGGTGGGAGCCCCTCACGGCCGCCCTGGGACCACAGCCTGCCGGCTCCTGTGCTGCCAGGCGGGGTGGGGGAGCTTACGCTGTGAACCCGTTGACCATGTGGGCGTATCCTTGGATCACTAGGTCCAGCCAGCCACAGCGCCGCCGCCTGCCCGTGGTCACCCCCCACTCGTGGCCGCGGTTCTGCAGCAGGTCTCCGATCTCCTGTGGGCAGACAGAGCTGGTGTCCCGTGGGCAGTGACTACAGCCCGGTGGCCAGGCCTGCCCGTGCTGGGGTCCCCTCCTCTGCCTCCCACTTCTTAGCTCGGGGGGGCTGCCCTCACATCGGACCTCGCACATTCCCACGTTCCAGCACACACGTCCCAGTGGAGGCTCAGGCCAGGCAGCCTCGTGGGCCAGTGCGGGTCCCAGCAGGTACATCCGCACCTTAGCCCACGGCTGGGCGGCAGGGGCAGGCCTGGCCTGCAGCCGCCTGCCTCCCTGGCCCTGCCCTCTCAGCTCTCGCCACCTGCACTCCCTCCCTGTTCAGGACCAGACCCTGCGGCCTCGCCCTGCCCGGGTAGGGCTGGGGACTGAAGATGAGGCTGGGCCTCTGGAGGCTCAGGCGGTTCTAGCTTGCTGCGACAGGGACACGGCGCCCGAGGCTGACAGTCTGGCGATGGGCTGAGAGAAGATGCCTTGCATCAGGTCTGGGGGGTTAGGAGCTGCAGGGGGGGTGTCCCGAAGGGCAAGGAGCCCGCGCCCCTAGGGAGGCACCGTGTGCGTGCCTGCCCGCTCTCAGAACCCTGCCTGCACAGTGGGAGCTGACCGACCCCAGCCACGGTGGCCCCGAGGGGTCGACACTCACGTTGACCTGCTCAGTGGGGAAGGCCCCGATGCCCACACGTGTGGTGTAGGCCTTTACCACGCCATACACGTCGCCGATGTTCTGGGGGGGGATGCCCAGGCCTGTGCACACGCCCCCCACTGTGCAGTTAGACGACGTCACGAACGGGTAAGTTCCTGCAAGGCAGACAGCACGGGTCACCCTGGCCCTCAGCCCCCTCAGCAAAGGGCTGGGCGCTCCGACCTGTCGTTTGCCCTGACTGGGTTCGTGGGGGACAGGCCTCGGGGCAGGGTGTGCTGGGCCTCGTGGCTCACATAAGAGTCGGCTGAGGACAGGTAGAGGTTGCTCCCAGCTTGGACGGAGCCAGCCGGGCCACCGGGGCGCTGGGCGGTGGACTGCCGTGTGTGGGGCCAGGCGGGCAGCCAGACCTCCCAGCCTCTCGCCCCCATTTCTTCAGATGCTAGCTGGCCTTCTCTTCCTCCCTCCTCTCCTTTCCCAAAGCCGGGGAGCTGAGAGGCCGCGGCGCCACTTTGTGGCCGGGGAGATTGGGGTGACACCCCTCTGCACAGAGTGGTTGACGGGTACGCACCAAAGTCGATGTCGAGGAGGGCGGCGTTGGCGCCTTCCACCAGGATTTTCTTGGGGGGGCCGTGGAGCGCCTCGTACATGAAGTACACGCCGTCCCGGACCATGGGCCTGACCCGCTCCGCAACGCACGACGATGGGGGTCCCCGGGGCCCCGGGAAGGCGGGCGGCGAGCTGCGCCCACGCCGAGATGCTGTGTCCTCGCCGCGCCCGCACGCCAGCGCAGTACCTTGAGCTTTTTCAGCTGGCCCTCGACGTCGACCTCCAGGGTGGGGAACATGGACTGGTGCTGGTGGGCCAGGTTCTTGAACCTGCGTGAGCGACCGTTGCCGTGACCCCGCGGCCCCTCCTGGCCGAGCAGCTCCGCACAGCCACGGCCTCCCGCCCTCTGCCCGGGCACCTGGTGGAGAATTCGCCGAAGTCCGACAGCAGGTCGCAGACGCGCAGGCCCGTGCGGGCGGCCTTAGAGGAGTAGGTCGGGCCAATTCCCTTCTTGGTGGTGCCGATACTGGGGGTGGGCAGGGGCGTGAGGGCAGAGCCTGGGCCAGCACTGGCCCTGCCTGGCCAGCCCCAGTAAACTCCAGGGCCGCCGCAGGGGACAGGGCTGTGGGCGGGAGGTGAGGGCAGGGCACCAGCGTCTGCGGCAGTGGCAGCCAGCGAGGGTGCCGCTCCGGAGAGCGGTGCGCCAGTCCCGGGTGGCGCGGCCCAGTCTTGGCTGCCGTGGCTACCATGAGGCTAACGGTGCTCTTCTGAAGGTCTTGGGCCTGCAGCCCCCAGCCTGCCAGGACTAGACGCCCTGGAGGACCGCCGTGGAGGGCGGGCGCCCGGGGAGCAGCACCTACCTCTTCCCCTCCTGTGCCTGGCGCTGCACTTCCTGCAGCCCGTCCACCGCCTGGTGAAAGTCGAACACTGTCGGTGGGCATGGGGACAGAGGGGCAGAGGACAGAGTTCAGTGGAACCTCACCTGTGGCTGGCATGCCCGGGCCTCCTGGGAAGGGGCAGGCAGGCTTCACAAGGAGATCGGATGGGGAAGTCAGTCCTGGCTGGGGACAGACTGAGGCTGCTGGGAAGGGGCGGGCAGGGTTCACAAGGAGAAGACCGGGTGGGGAGGTCAGTCCTGGCTGGTGACTGACTGAGGCTGCTGGACCTGTTTCCCTGTCTGCCCAACCAGCTCCCACCTTGACACTCTTTGGGAGGGAGGCCATGTTGCTGCCTGATCCCAGGGGTGTCAGGGAGAGCAGCCAGCTGGCCTGGGGAAGGGGCGGTGGGTGGAGCGTGGACTCACCCAGGTGCGCCCGGTCAGAGATGACAAGCCTCTTCTCCCAGTCCTTCAGACCTGCAGGACAGCACGCGGGTGGGCGGGACTCCTGGCCGTGAGCGGCCGGTGAGGTGGGCCGTGGTGGGGCCGCTCACTGCTCTGGGGCAGGGCGCACAGGGAGCAAGACAGCCCCTCCCTGCCCCCTCCCTGCCAGAGGCCCTGCCCCAGGTATCTGCCCACATGCCTGAGGCTGAGGAGCAGGACTGATCCCAGGCACGCCCACCCTCCTCTGCACAGCCTGCCTGGCTCCCCCTGGCGGCCCGCATGCTCTGCTCATCCCAGCCCTAGCCCAGCCCTGCTCCCTTCCAGCCCCTCGAGCTCCTGTCTGCCCCGTTGCAGGGCAGCCACCTCAGCTGGGCGCACCACAGGCCTCCCTGCTCACTCGCCAGCGTGCCCAGCCAGACGCCCACTGAGGCCCAGGACCCACAGTTGACCCAGTGGCCCCCAAGCACGAGTGGGCGTCTCCTAGGGCCGTGTGTCAAATACTAGGGCCTGGGCCCTTCCCAGACTCCCTGAACCCAGGTCTCAGTGCCACCTGGACCAGGCCGAGGTAGCTGCCACACTCGGGCTT